ATATTATACAAATTTTGATTATTTAAAATTTTTGCGATGTATTTTTAGATAAAAATGGAGGACGGAGCACCAGCTAATAAAAAAAAAAGGTTGCAGCCACACAAGAAGTGGACGGAGCGAGAAGTGCTCCAAATAATAGAATTTCTGCAGGAGGAAGCAGAATTTGAGGTTAATTCCTGTTTTTATTTGTATAACTCTTAATTAATTTTTATTTTTAATTTTACAGACTCCAACTGCACAATTTTTTTATAAAAAATTTTTAGAAAAGACTCAGTTGGATGCAACGTGGGACCTTGTACGGTGGAAGGTACGGCATCTAAAGGCGCAGTATCGAAAAGCGAACGACTGGCTTGCCGCAACTGGCGCAGGACTGTTAAATGAATCGGACGGCAGTACTATTGACGGTTAGTAAAATTTCGAGATATGTTAATCTATGGCTATGCATGCGTTTCGTTCAATGATTTAAAACGATGTGGCCATTAATTAAGTTTTCACAAATATAATATTATATACATATACATTTGTGAATTAATTTATCTATTTATCAATTTCAGCGAAACTTACGAAAATGTGTCCACACTTTGAACTTTTGAATGAAGTGTTTGGACGCATGTCTAATTTTGAGCCGCTTGTAATATGTACGGACACATTGCTAGAGCCACCAGTTAGTTCTGCGCTAGGAGACGAAGTTCATTTTATTGAATCGTCTGCAGATAACGCATCATCCAGCTCTGCGCCGAAAGTCGTGCGTTCTGCCGTGCAAAGCCCCACTACCCCACTCGCATCCCCTAAAATTGCTAAAAAAGGTTCAAATTCTGCCATAAGCCAGCTAGCTGCTGTACAAAGAGAAAAACTCGTATTTGAGGAAAAAACGTTAGATTTCGAAAAAATAAAACACGAGACATATAGCAAAATTGAGGAGCGGAAAATTGCTATTGAAGAAAAAAAAATTGAAATGGAAGATAAGTGGAGGGATAGGGACATGGAATTGAAACGATTGGAACTGGAAATGAAAGAAAGAATTGCAAAATATGAAATCGATAAAAAATATAACAAATAACTATTTTTATTATACTAATTATTTTTATATTATATAATATATATATACGTTTTTAAACATTATTATTGTTTTGAAATAAACCTACTGGAAAAAAAGTAATGTCGCAATTGACTTCTTAATTATATATTTAATATATATGTAAAATTATAAGCGTTTTTATAATTGGGTTTTGTGATCTTTATTTGAATTTCTTTAATTTATACAATTGAATTTATACAATTTCGGTTATTGATTGTTTAATTACTTTTTTGTGTGTACCCGTGTGTTGACACGTTCGCGATCGAAAATCAAGAGACAGAATCAAATCAACGGAGTTTACTTGCAGCCAAAAAATATAACAAAAAATTGCTCATCTCGAGCGCAAAAAACAAAAGGCAATAAAAACAAGAATTAGAACCGTTGGTTTGATTACATCTTATACAGGGTTAGTTAGATAAATTAATTAACCATATATTAACCATATAAAATATTATATATGAATTATATAATATATTAATTATAATAATTTAATTATACAATATATGATTTACAATAGATTAAAATATAATAAAATATAATATATAAATCATATAACACATCAATTATAATAATTCTACAGAATCTTACAATATTAACAATTTGACTTTAACCGCTCTAACAATATATACATATATGTATGTTTTCTATATTTGTATTCGTGAATTATTGATTGCCGAACATTAAATTATACAAAAATTTCCGCTTCGAAGCTCCTTCATTGGTTCTCTGACTAGCCTCATTCTGCATAAGCTCATCAGATTCTTCGTCGTTGTCATGTACGTAATCCACGTGTTCCGTATCATCACATGAAGGTCGCAAAATGTTGTGCAATATGCAACAAACAAGGAACCAATTTGAACAAAAATTATGACTTGTATCATTCTGAATACGGATTCTTAACTCCTTAAGACTACCGAAGCGTTCCTTCAGAAGTCCAAAACAATGTTCAATCCTTACACGAAATCTGCTATGGCGTAAGTTAAAAGTTTTACGTTTGGAGTAGTCAAGCTGTTGGGAGTTTGACCGAAACGGAGTTATAAGAGGTTTAAGTAATGGATAAGCAGAATCGCCTGCTAACCATTGTTCCGAAGAAAATAAAGAATTTTCTTGGATGCATAGAGCGCTTCTACGAAACATGCGAGCATCATGTGCACTTCCATAGTGACCAACTGCGACATGTCGAATCTTCAGCTGATAGTCACATACGACTTGTGCTTTTATTGAATACACTCTATTTTTTGAAAAATAGGATGTATGGTTAACCACTGGTGCTTCGGCAAGTTTTATTTCAGTACCGTCAATATATCCAATGCAATGTGGAAGCTCATGATAGGTTTTCTCCACTATATCTTGTCGTTCAGCTACATCTGGCCACGTTATAAATTTGGTTTGCAGCTCCAATATGGAGCGAAAGACTCTTCGGGTTATCTTATAAATTGTTTCCCCATCTCCAACACCAAATAATGTAGCGACTTTACGAATAGCCGCATTTTCGCCTGATGAACCCAAACGATATAAAACAATAGCAAGTTGAAGATCGAGCGGGAATTGTTGAATTGAATGTGAATTAGTGAACTCCGCGCTAGTGTTTATTAGTGAGAGTATTAAGGAAAATTCGTTCCAATTTACTCTAAGCATCTGACGAAAACGGCCTTCATCAAATTCTTGAAGAATGGTAGATCTCCATTGAATAGATTTGGGTACGGGTTGGTGATTTCCGTGATGGTTTACTAAAGTAAACAAAAGGTCTTCATTTAATTGCTCCATCACTTCCCAGTAATTTGCATCATCTAACAAATAGAAACTATACAGTAGTGAAAACTACATTAACAACATGTTAATACCTTCAATCAAAATATTAAAAGCACTATTTTCAATTAAAAAATCTATACATTTTTGTATTTCACTTGTTCGCGGCATTGTTATACTTTTATTTTTCTTTGCTCAATGTGAATCGACTGCAAAAACAGCTGATTCATTTTGATGATACAATTCTGCAACAGAGGTGTTCTCGCAGTCTTGCAGTTTTTGCATAGCATTCTTGCATTTCGTGCTCCCTGCAATGAGTTTACAAGAGAGAGTGAATACCCCTAATATTTTCAAAGTCACTTACATCATGACACCAATTACTAATCAAATACCAAAAACCAGCATTTCTTATCGTCGAACTGACGGTCTGATGCTTTGGTTCTAGTCAATAACTGCCCAGATGCAAACAATCTTGCCTATTTTTAGGAAAATATACGATCAACTAAAATCGTACACAAATAAAAATATTACACGTATTTCACAGAGAAATTGCAAAACGTAAAGTTAAATGGACTAATTATTTAACTCATAACATTCCTTCCCCCTATGAAGAACATTGTGGCACACAATGTTACATATCTAACGGTCTATATTAAACTTGCATCAAATTTAAGTTCACATTAAATATTTGTGATTGTTCTTAAAATTATAAAATATTTATAATTATTACTCTACAATAGTTATATTTTATCACTAATCAAAAATTTACATGTTTTAAGTTTACAATAAAAAAAAAATATTATGTGTACCAAGAAGAATTTTTCTTAGAGAAACTAAACCGAAAAATAGACGACAAAAAAAAACACGTTGGTTTTTATTTCGGGTTTGATCAAGACTGATCGTTTTTTATTAAAAACTTACATTGTGCAACAGGGTTGCCAATAATACAAAAACTTTCGTTATTTTGTATTGTTACCCAACATCCCGGCCTCCTTGAAAGGACTTTCAATAGGTAAAATGGCTAGTTTGTGGATAGGTCTGCGAATGATGCCCTTTGAGGTACGTACGTCAACTACTCTGACATGCTCGTCCTTGCCTGGTATGACCTTCAGAACTCTTCCGAGTTGCCAATGTAGTGGAGGCACATTGTCTTCATGAATTGACACCATTGCATTGGGCATGATATTTGGTATTTCACAGGTCCATTTTGTGCGCATCTGTAGCTCATTTATGTATTCATGAGACCACCGCTTCCAAAATGATTGTTTCAAACCGATGATGAGGGACTACTTGTCGAGCATGTTAGTATTAGCAGATTCCGTCCGCTCCGGTAACGCCTTTAGAGAGCACCCAATCAAAAAATGGGCAGGAGTCAATGCTTCGTAGTCGCTAGGATCCGGCGAAAGTGGTGTCAATGGTCGAGAGTTGAGAATAGCTTCTATCTCGGTTGTTACTGTTGACAGCTCCTCAAATGTTAACTTAGTAGTCATCAAACTTCTATATAAGTGCCCTTTTGCGGATTTAACTGCAGCCTTCCAAAGACCGTCAAAATGAGGTGCCCTGGGAGGAATAAAATGAAAATTAATGAATTCAGACGCGCAGTACTGAATGATAGACGATTGGGTTATTTTATTAAACAAGAATGACTTTAGTTCTGTCAATTGATTCGAAGCCCCAACAAAATTGGTTGCATTATCGCAAAATATATCACTTGGTAAGCCTCTCCTGCCAATCATTCTTTTTAATGCTGCAATGAACGCGTCTGTTGACAAACTTGATACAACTTCGATGTGTACTGCTTTTGTTGCCATACAAATAAAAATGGCGATATAAGTTTTGTATGGAGGCTTCCCTCTTATACGTAAATACGTGTTGAATGGTCCACAAAAATCTATACCACAGCGCGCAAACGGCCGTGACGGTGTGAGACGTTCTACCGGTAAATTGCCCATCATCTGTTGCAATAGTTTTGGCTTATAATGCACGCAGTGAACACATTGTCTGACTACTCTTCGAGCAACTTCTCTGGCGTTTATAATCCAAAACTCTAAACGAATGAGTGCCACTAGTGCCTTAGGTCCAGCATGATAATTCTTACGATGCAAGTAACGAACATAACGTATGACGAATTCAGATTTGCTAGTTTGCTAGGCAGCAAGATAGGATGTTTACGTTATTTTGCAAGATCAGCCAATTCTAATCGTCCACCATCCTTTATCAGCTTATACCCACCGGTATCTTCAATAAATGGGTTGAGGTATTTTAATGAACCTTTTGTTATAGATCCTCGATTCAATAAATAAATATCTTCAGCAAAGTACTGTGCTTGTATATTTAAAATGATGCATCGAAAGGCGTAGTCTAATTCTTCATGAGTAAGGACTTCTGTAAAGACATTGCGGTTGAACTTCTTCTTATAATGATGATACCAACGAAACAACCAAGCCAGTACACGAACAGCCGTTGTATGTGAGCTATACTTATCAATAATATCTATGACATAATTGGTTGATACAGTTACCTTGAATGCTGCTTTTCGTTTTTCCTTATTGACTTCTTCAAAATCCAAGTTGTCGTTTTTGTTTGCAGGCCACTTATACATCTCTTGACGAAGAAATGAAGGTCCTTTAAACCAAATAGAATTAGTGAGATCCTTAACAGTGCTGCCTCTTGACACAATGTCTGCTGGATTACAATTTGTGTGGACATATCTCCAATGTGAACCTGCGGTGAGGTCTTGAATCTCAGAAACTCTATTGCCTACGAAGGCAGACAGTGTGGCCGAATGCATTTTGAGCCAATGTAATTCGATTTGGGAATCAGACCATAGATAGACGACCGTATCAAACTTTTCGAAGAGCGATTTAATTTTGTTGTAAAGTCTTGCAAGTAGCAGTGCTCCACAAAGTTCTAATTTTGGAAGCGATTGTTTTTTTAGCGGAGCTACTCTAGATTTGGCTACTTATAGTTGAACCTCTATGAGGTTGGAATCATCTGTGACGCGAATGTAACTGCGGCAACCATATGCGCGAATCGATGCATCGCAGAACCCATGGAGCTGAATTGCTTTTGCTTTTGGTTTTAGACAGTACCTTGGAATGGTAATGGTGTTCAATGATGACAAATCGTGACAAAGCCTTTCCCATGCTGAATGTAAATTTTGAGGAATGGATTCGTCCCAATCCAATTTAAGCAGCCATAGCTCTTGCAATAATATTTTAGTTGATATGGTTATTGGAGCTAATAGTCCTAATGGGTCGAATAGTGACGACGCAATTGATAAAATAGTTCTTTTTGCGATGCGGCTGATAGAGTTTGATTTAACATTAAATGAAGGAATAAATACATCCTTATCTTGATCCCATTACAGTCCCAATGTGCTGGTAATAACATCCGAACCTATATTGAGATCTTTGATAGTAGTGTCATCTCTAAAAGCTTGATGATTTGAGTGCCATTTAGCTAATTCGAAACCTCCCTGTTTTAGAAGCTCTTCCAATTCGTATTTTATTTGATGTAACTCAGAAAGAGAATCTGCACCATGCAATAAGTCATCAACATAAAACGAAGATTTGATTACTTCAGCTGCAATCTTGAATTGATTCACATATTGATGCGCTATATACAATAGGCAACGAATGGCAAGGTACGGTGCAGCAGCTGTTCCATATGTAACTGTGTTGAGCTGGAAAGTACGAATATTGGTAGATGGTGAACTTCTCCAAAGAATGTACTGAAATTTTCTATTTTCAGGATCAATCAGAATTTGCCTATACATCTTCACTATGTCAGCAGTAAGAGCGAATCGAAATAAGCGAAAACGTAACAAGAGGATGACCAATTCAGTTTGCAGAGTAGGTCCAATCATCAAAATATCATTGAGAGATTTCTGAGAAGAGGTTCGACATGATGCGTCGAATACGACTCTTAATTTCGTCGAGGTGCTGGTTGGCTTCAATACGCAATGATGCGGAATGTAATAATGAGGTTCATCAATATTTGGATCTTTTACCTCAATCATGTGACCAAGGTTTTGATATTCTTCCATAAAGGCAACATATTGCGTTTTGAGCTCAGGCGACCGTGACAATCGATTTTCTTGTACAATAAATCTGCGCAACGCTGTACCGTATGAACTGCCTAAACACTGAGGACTATCCTTAAATGGCAACCTTACCATAACTCTACCTGCATTTGTTCTGCATACTGTTTCTGAAAACAAATGATCACAAACTTGTTGTTCACTAGTCCAAGCATGTGGAGTGATCGAGACTTCTTCTAGCTTCCATAAACGTTCTAACTTTTCCTCGACAGAGTCAATTGATGAAAGGAGACAAGTTGAATTATTAACGCATTGTGAAACATCATATCTACCTGAAACAATCCAGCCCAAAATAGTTTTCTGTAACGTTGGTAATCCTAATCCAAGTTTAATCTGGCCTACTGACAGGACACTAAAAAAGCTTTCAGTGCCAAGCAGTAAATCAATACGGGTTGATTTGTAAAATTGTTCGTCAGCAAGGTTAATATTTGGTGGTACGTACCAAGTTGAGATGTTTATTTCAGAATCTGGTTGATACGCAATATGTGATGTTATACAGAATGTCAATGGAAGTTGAAAAGCCGTGAATCGAGATTTGATAGTAGTTGATACCTTTGATGTAATTCTTGTCGATGAATTTCCGATGCTGTTAATTTCAATATTATGCTTGGCCATGGGTATGCGAAGTTTTTGAGCGAAATCATTAGTGATGAAGTTCACCTGTGAACACGAATCTAGTAACGCCCTACCCAATTGATAGCATCCAGATGCATCCTGTATTAGAACTAGCGGTGTAGCTAAGATGACATTACTTGTCGATGACTTCTCTAAATGTGTATGCGTCACAGCATCTCTAGAAGTAGTAGCTACAGCTGACACCATTGATGACTGTGGAGTAGGATGAACTGAGTTGAAAGGTGTTGTAGCATTGAAGGTGTTGCTACGATGTTACAAGGTGTGATGTTGATCTGAACAAATCTTACAACTATAAGTTGATGGACAGTTAGAACGTTGATGTCCTTTTGATAAACAATTGATGCACAGTGTGAATCGCTTTACAGTGTCAAAACGTTGTGCAGTTGATAAACTTTCAAACCGTTCACAGCCATTGAGCTTGTGATTCGCACTTGAACAAAATATACAAGAAGATTTAGTGCAAGAAAAAGCATAATCTTTGTGAGATTTTTTTATTTTTGACAATTTATCATTGGTGTGCACATCTGATACACAAGGAGACGTTTTATCCAGAGATTGAAGATATTGACAATGTCTCTCTAAAACGGCACTACAATCGTTCCAACATGGCAACCTTTTGAAATCCAACGATTCCTTCCACTTTCTTCTCGTCCCTTCGTCACACTTTTGCATCACAATATGAATCAACATTGCTTGTGCAATGTCACGTTCCGAACCCAATGATAGCAGTGAACTATAAATTGTTGACGCAGTATCGATTAAACTTCGCAATTTATCACCTTCTGGTTTGGACGTACCAGGAAGATCGAAAAGGGCTGATACGTTTTCCATAAAAATAAGCGTTGGATTGTCATATCTATCCTTCAATCTATTTAAAGCCTTTGAATAATTTTCATTTGTGACTTGAAACGCGTTGACCGTTTCTAACGATGGGCCATGCAGACAAGTCAGCAAATAATTAAACTTTTCCAGATTAGATAAAGTTGATTCTCGATCAATGATTTGGGTAAATGTCGTTATAAAATTCTTGAATTCGGAATATTTACCATTGAATGAAGGTAATTGTAACGGTGGTAGTTTCGATGTTGATTGGTGGATGGTGATGTTACCATCAGATATTGATGTATTGTGGAACTCGTCTCCCAACTGCGATTGAATAGCCATCTTTGCATTGATGTAAAGCTCCTCCAAATCTGATCGGCAATTATCTTCTGGATCTAAGGCCTCGATGCTCGATTGCGTGGTCAATATCTGTTTGAAGTAAGCCTCTAATATCGCTAAGCGACATTTTAGTTCAGCATGTGGAAGTACATTTCCCTCATTCCTTGCGGATTCAATATAATTCTTAATTCGTGTCATGCTTTTTTTAGTGTTGGCTCTTTGCTGCTTTAATTTTTCTGCCATTGTGACGTAAAAATATAATGTACAAAATAAATGCACCAAATACAGCAACAACTCGTTAAGTAAATGATAATTGAAAATTGACGATGATCGCAGTAGCAGCAACAGTATAAGAACTCCAAACAAATGCAGCAAGCAGCGACAGACTAACTGCAAAGAACCGTAAAACAAACGGCAATAAACTATAAAGCGAGTCGGCGACGATGGCCTTGAATTAAACACGAGATTTAATTTAAATATAATTATATGGAGCACAAGAACCGTAGAACAAACGGCAGTAACAATGCAACAAAATGGCGACGACGACCTGAAAATGATACAAGAACCGTAAAACGAACGGCAGCTACAAAGCAACAAAACGGCGACGACGGCCCGAAAATGAGACTGTTCTAGTTTTTATTATTAAATATACAATATATATTATGTATTTAATATATATTAAATATATCACTTTCAAATGCCTAATTATACTTTGTCAAGTATCTATCGTGCCCCACGTTTGGCGCCAAAAAATGTACCAAGAAGAATTTTTCTTAGTGAAACTAACCGAAAAATAGACGACAAAAAAACACGTTGGTTTTTACTTCGAGTTTGATCAAGACTGATCGTTTTTTATTAAAAACTTACATTGTGCAACAGGGTTGCCAATAATACAAAAACTTTCGTTATTTTGTATTGTTACCCAACACATAGTATTTTTTTTTGTTATTATTTTATCAATTACACAATATAAATTGTTTAAAAATTTTTCAATTTCTTCCATATTATTATAAAATTGAAATTTTAATAAATTTTCTAAAACTTCAACGGATTCATTAATATTATGATAATAATTTGATACATTTGTTATAGAAGCATTAAATATTAAATTTTGTCGTTCTACAGTACTTAAATACAAATATAATTCATTAAAATTTAAATTATTAATATAATTATGAATTATTCTAATACAATTTTTAATTAAAATAGAATTAATATCCCAGAAACGAAATTCAGATTCTAAACAAACTGACGTATTTAATATGTGCTGAATTGGTGCTGTAGGATGTTGCTTTAAGAAATTTATTATTTTGTCTCCCTTTCCTCTTTTTTTGTGCCGGGAATGTTGTTGATCTGTTTCGAAGCAGCTAGTAACAGTTTCATTACTAATTGATAATTGGGATCCAACGGAAATTGTAGAATGAACGTCGATCTGTAGTTGGCTTCCTTCCACCATTCCGTTTTCGGCTTCTTGCAAATCTTGGAAAAATCGAACAAATCCAACTTCACTACCTGGAAACCACGTTCTCCCGGCGAAGTTTACGTACAAGTACACCCTTTCATCTTTTTGCAAATAGACTGCGAGATAGAGCCAATGCTCGATCGAAAACTTTCAGCTGAAAAAGACCCGTCGAGCAAATCTTCTATTGATTTGTTGTCGTTCGAGATATTTGGTAAATGACATATGCAGGAATTGTTGGAATAATTGCAGTGGTGGACAACGTGGATATGGTCTCCATGGTGCGAGATGAGCAAGATGGTCCCTGAAAATTTTCTGCATAACTGTTCAGGATCCAATCCGATGTTTCTATAGTTATGGTCGCTTCGGTAAATATCGTGGACGATTCGAGACCTAAGAGACTTTGTACTAAATACGTTAAAGAGCACTTTCCTAATTCTTTCTTTTGGTCCATCATTATTTTCTGAATTGATTGAGTGTAACCCATCAATGTATAAATAACTCTTTTCGCTTCGTATTGTTTCGCCTTCAGTGCCAAAGGGATCATCATTTCCAATGTTGTCACACAATGAAGTAGGTAATCCGGTGTCCACATCGCCAAAATCATTGATAGAATCAAGATATGACTGCAATTCGTTGATAAGACTTGAGCTTTCTTGATCTCCTCTTCCGCATTCACTTTTATTTTCTTCAAGGGTTTCTCTTCTTTTTCTTCCCGTTTCCTCTTCTTCGTCTCCTTCATTATAGTTGTTTTCACTTCTGGTGTGTTCGGAAGAACTTGTATCTCCGTCAGAAAAGGTTGTCCACAAGTGATCTCTTCCTCGTTTTCGCTTCCTGTATGATTCGGAGTTGCATCGTCCAAAATTAACGGTTCTCTTAACAATGTTTTTTTCGACATCGACATGTTCCGGTGAATATGTGTAACTGCAAACGCTAGAATTACTATTGTCTTCGTCACTATTAAATGACATTTAACAATTCTATAAAACTTTTACAACTTTTATACTAAAATTTTACGTAATTATTATTATTGTAAATTAATTAATATTAATTTAATACTTGAAATCTAAAAATCAACACTTAAGATTTGAATTTGCGTTGGTAAAGATAATAACACATATTGACGACGACGACGACAGATTCGGTGATTTCTTTATGTTTACTGCTTTTTCTGTTTAAAATGGATTAAGTTTGTTAATATTAAAGGCATTATGACGTTTTTAGCTAAACCACCACGTCATTTACAATGTAGAAAAAACAACTATTTTCCAGGAAAAAGTTGTCAGTATTTAAAATCCTAATATGCCCATAATTATTTTCAGTCAAATTTAATACTTATTTTGGTATTTTAGTTTTAAGAACTTAAATATAAGAGATAATATATTGAAATAAAATGAATTTTTATCCAAATTAAGCATTTTATCGAAAAAAATGATTGTTAATTAAAAATTGAGTCACTAACGGGGTGAAAATAATGCTAAAGCTATGCTTGCTGTGCTAATAATAATCGTGACTGTATGTATTCAAGGCTTTATTTTGGTTTGTAGTTTGTTTAAGGTGTTTCTCATTTAAAAATTTTTTTTTTCTGATAAAATTTTATTTGTTTTGCAAATTTCTATAAACAAGAAACTTTCTTATTATTGTCTAAACCTTTCTCAACCAAAATAGTACATTTCTGTTCAGTGGCTGTTAAGTTGGAATACTGTTCAAACTTTTGTAGATTTATATCTTATTTTGTGATTTACGACATCTTTTAATAACGATATTAAAATTTGTTTCTAAAAACAATGAAGGAATAGCAGTTGATGATTATTTATAAAATTTTAAGTACGTGCCATTATAGACTGCATATGAGCATTATAGACTTGTGTTCTACTTTGAAAGCTTTTAGCCAAGATTCTCTATAAGTACCGAAATGGAAAAAATCTACGAGTTCCAAAGTTGCTGGAACAAAACTGAATGCAGCACTCTTTTCCCTCTTTTTCAAAATTAAATTGGATACATTTGTTTCTTTAAGATTATGACCTAATTTATAATACTATTATAAAATAAATATCAAGAATAATGCTAATTCGTCCGTCACTTCTCTATGGTTGTGTGGCGTTTAGCTTCAAACACTACTATTTACCAGCTAGAAATTGCACAAAGCCAGCCTCTGTGAAGATTGTGCAAAGTTCCATGGTATCCGTGGTACATTAGGACGAACTACATCCTCAGGGACATAAAGATTGATCCGATCAAAAAATATCTGAAGGATAGAGCCCTGAAATTATTTACGAAAACTGACAGACTTACCAACACTGCGTTATCAAATCTCAAAATGGTTACAGGCTCCTCGGGGAGATTTGCAAATCTGAGGTCAATCAAGCCAGTATAAAATTTTAGCAAAAACCAAATTTAGAATAATTTGGAAACACACATAGCCAATCATATATTTAAAAAAGACATGCACAAAAAATATTCTGTAAGTGTACCATAACAAAGAAGAATAAAAAAGTACTTGTCTATCCGGTCCATACATAAAAAACTTTACTTCGTCTTTGGCTCACTTTTTATACATGAATAAGCAAAGTATGCATTTGCTCTAATATCAGAATTTTTTTTACTTAGTTTTGGCTAAGCAAAATATATTGTGTAAGATATTGGTTTTATTGGTGACTACTAGTATTGATCATAACATACATGAAATAAGTCGATTATTTATACGTGTGAACAGACATGATTATCACATTGCCTGTATCCACGGTTGCCACATGTGGTGCTTTAGCACCAAAATTGATACTTTTTTCTCGTATGGTACTCTGGCACTCGTTTTTAGAAAACGGTACTTTTTTGAATAGCGAACTGTTTTGTACATAAAATGGTACTTTTTTGAAGCGCGAACTTAATTATATAAGTTAACAAACAAAATTTAAAAATAGATAAGTAGCCTCTCTGAAAGTGCGGGTGGATCTATCATCTTTGCTTTGCAGGTGCATAGGCGCAACATGAGTAGAGCTTATTATTACGATTAGTATTAATTAAGAAGCGATAAAACAAAGAGCTACAAAAAATAATATTTTTTTATTTAATTTATATAATATTGCCACACCTACCCTCCCAAATAAAACCAAATAATAGTGTGTAATATATTTCTATGTTTTTAGATGACACCTTTTTAGAATTTATGATATTTTTACAGATGGAAAACACACTTAATTTTCTATAGGTTTGTTACAGACCTTCTTGATTTCGCTTATATTCTCTAAAAGTAAAATTAATGTTGCATATTTTTAGAGCAATTGTACGATCAACTTAGAACGTATGAACGTAAATCTTGAACAGTAACAAATACTGTATTTCATGGGCGAGGAACATCATTAAAAAAAAAATTAATAAAATCAAGTCAGTATTTTTACACATAACAGTACAAAGATGTAAAGTGAGTTGATGCAATAGAAAGTTCAATAAAATTGTGACTTTTAGAACGATAATAAGTTTTATTGAATACAAAATAAACGTTAGCAATTCGGAAATACATAAATACAACACAACACAATATCAGCAACAATGTGTAAGTGTGAAAGGAACTCATTTGGATATTTGGATAATTTTTGTTTATTTAAAATATAGTTTTCTTGTTATATTTTCTTCGAATACAAAAAAAAACAGAACTGGCCACATCAATAGTTAAATTTGGTTCATGTTTTTTTTTTGTTTTGTTATAATAATCAGCATAAATAGTAAAGCTACCCAGAAGCACGAATGACGTCATTGCGGTCTAATTTTGTTTTCTTTAATTATT